CGCATTATAATGCACTGTAAAAACCACAGCGCCACAGCCTGTCTCGTACCAAACTCGTTATACAGGCCCATTCTAGTTTTGAGTATTTTTATAGATGGAATGTATTATTCTTCAGGATATTATTGGATAAAACATATTCAGGGTATTAAAAATAAACTTTTAATTTGGATAGATGAGATTTAATTTGGCGCTTGAATTCGTCTAATTCTTCATGTCGAACCGCTAACAACGATCAATTAAGCAAACAAAAACCACCTGTACTTAGAAAATTGCCAAGGTCATCCGTTTACCTACATCTCAGCTGACAGTAGTTCTGATGTATTCATAACTTTTAACTCATTGTTAAAACTAAATCAGTTATTACTGTTTTAAGTAATTTAAACGTCTCTGTTAATTTCTTTTGCCCGGGGCAATATTCATCGACTTGTTTCTTTCCAATATTTCCCCGCTATCACTTTTATTTCATGTTCCCATGATTCTGGTGGTCGTCCTGTCTATTTTCTTCCCACTGGGCCATACGGATTCTTCTGTCATAAGCCAGGAATGAATTTCACTTTCTCGTAGAGAAATGCCCTTGACTCACAGTACCCGGCCCGCCCCTCAGGTCAAGTCTAGGACGTCTGACTTCGCAGGGCCAAAATATGGCGCAATAGTACCTTGCCCGAGTAACATTTCGGGCGGTTACCTCACTCGAACTCAAATAATAAGTAAATTACAGGATACCTGAATATTAACGGACCCATAAAATTATGTTTGTTATTTATTGCATTCAAGACATTTCTAATAATGGATGTAGTATTAAGATCAAGCATCTAATTTTTGCATAGTTTAAACACCTAAAAACGGCGCTGAATTGTTATCTATTACATAATTAAAGATTCCTCTTTTCATATACGGTAATCACTCGTTCCTATTTTCGTTCAGTTATTTTTCATTTATTATATGAGAGGGCATTTATTTCTTAACCAAGTCAAATCTCGAATGAATCTTGCAATAAGATACTACGAAGAACTATCCTTTTTAAGAAATTAACAATAAACTTACAAATAAGTCCTTATTCCTTGGAGATTCCTACTAAATCTTATAATTAAAAGATCTAATAATATGTATAAGTAAACAAATTTCTATTTTCTATAAATCAATAGTTAATCATTAATTGTATTTAATTTTAGAAGGAAATTATAGGCTTTTTATTTATAAGTTCTTGTTACAAAGTTTAAAAGTAAATATATAGATATTGCAAGATGATTGTCAATGTTAATTATGGCTCCGGGAAGTCAAGGTCGGGATCGATAGCGCTAAATGACGGCATTATAGTCTGCATTAGGCTATGTTCACATGTAACGCGCGTTAACGCGCGTCGACGCGCGATCAAATTTGAAGAGCGTTCAGATGATGAGCGCTAACGCGCGTTGCGAGAGTACTCGTCAGTCTAGTTCGGTAGAACGTAGAAAATGGACGTGGAAGAGGCTATTATTTTGTGGTTATATTATAAAGAAAAATATAGAAAAAGAAAACGTACACATTGGGTTTATCCAATTTTGAAAAAAAAATACAATTTATATTATATTTTTTATACAAATTTGCTATATTCCAACTTGCTGACCTTTTTTCTACTTCATCGATTAGTAAGTCGATGTCAATATCTTCAATTTCACTCATTTTAAAAGCGAGAACAAAATATAATTACGAAAATTAATAAAATTACATGCGATCGCGATGAAAGCGCGCGCTCATCTGAACAGCAAACGGACATTACATTAATATCAAAGCGCGCGTCAACGCGCGATCACCTGCGTCTAGAGACTTTTTCTCTGAGCGCCGCGTTGACGCGCGTTAACGCGCGTACATGTGAACAGTTGTATGAAAAATACCATAATCTCTAGTCGCGCGATTTGAAAACGCGCGTCAAGTTTTTGCCATCTGAACATAGCCTTAATGTGTTCGCATGTACGCGTGCATTCGAGATTGTGAGGAAAGTGAATGAAAGTGAGCATTCCAAGCCACAGAGTATATAACGTATAATTTTCAATTCTCATTCTATTGTATTTCTAATCTGCACACTGAAATATCTCTACGTTTGATATATTTAGGTTTTAGTCTGGTTAGCAAGTTCGAAGCCGAACGTTCGAATAACGAATTTTCTAGAAATAATAATGATGACTAAGTTGGGGTGTTTGTATTTTTGTTGGGCCTTTGTATAAGTAACTACGGCTGATTGTCCAGCGAATGCTCTCGTTAGACATTGGTTTTGGACGTCCCTCCCGTCGGTTATTAAGAGTACTGAATAAAATAATGTGTATCTACGCACACATGTGTAGTATATCACGCCGTGTCTTAGCCACTTTGGGAAATATAAGAAAAATTAAAATAGAAAAACCATTTCGGTTGTCAATGTATTCGTATGGAACACAGTATATTATGTAGTTCGTACGTTTCATCTGCAATCGACCTCTTGGCTTTTATCATCTTATGATATGATTTTAAGGCAATTAGGGAATGCAAATCAAATAATTTGTTTTCCCTCCGTAACTCGCAATCTATCAAACTGCTGTAAGTCTCGACGACTCAAAATCTTGCTAATTAATATTTTATAAAATTGTGGTAGGTACTAGGACGCCACACAGCTGAACAATTCTCAATCGAATGTTAAATATTGACATTACAAATGACCTAAGTCATGTTTATAAGTGATTAGCAATAGCTCTTGAAAGTTAATTAGTCATACAGTAATATCTTATAGTTTTGAAGATCTGTTTTAGTTAAAAATATTAAATGCTCCAGACAAATGAATGTGATCTTTACTGGTGAATTAGAGATTTTTATTTAAATTAATACAAACGTTTTGATAGTTTGAATATTGAGTATGTATTAAAAAATACTTTTTTAATCAAACAATATACAGTTTTCCATTAATTCGCTATTGTACAAATACTATTTGAAAGTATATTCGTGCCTTATTTAACTCCAAATACGCCCTTAGATCGCCGCTCCGTTATATACAAAAAATTAATATTACTGGTAGGTGATTTCCTTTATAAATAAAGCTATATATTACATACAATACCATATCAATTTCCAAAACACGAGGATCCCAACAAGAACTGTGATTGACAGTTTTTCCTTATGTATCGCTTTCACATATTCCCAGGCACAAAAGAGTTTTCAATATCCCATTAAATAACATTAATGTTCACATGATTCGCATTTCTTTTGACTTTTTAATAATAAACGAGGTTGGAACTTGACGTAAAATGGCAATTTGATAAATGACCTGTAATTTATAGCGAAGTCTTGGAATAAATTTGCAGGTTAAAATTCAAAATATATTCGAAGGAAAATATTTTATGAGCTACAATTTTAACAAATTATACAAATATTGTTCTATTTTAACAAGTCTAGTTCTATAACCCATTAAAATGGAACAAAAAACCTGCTTCCGCAGTGTAACCACAATTAAAAACATGACTTGCCTAACAATTAGGATGACTTGATGTTCAAGGTTGTTATATTTTATTCAATTTTATAATAATAAATTGTGTCTCATTTACAATACACCTCAAGCTTACCACAGACAAGCATTTAATTGAGGCAAATGTTTGTGTAAGGCCGTGATAATACAAATCGTTATACGAACGGTTTAATAACAAACAGATAAATCGATATGACGCTTAAAGACCGCATTCATTGGCCTTCGTGGTCACTATTTCTTCCTGAGAGGTTTATACAAAATTATAGTATTCAAATAGTCTCTTATGTCAAAAACATTGATTGCATTAGACACAAGAGTCATAGTCAGCGCTGTCTTAGGCTGATTGAGAATCGAGACTTTGACAACTTTGACGGCTGCTGTCAGACAGAATATAATATTTATCATTATCGTTAGATTAAGCACCACATGAAAATCTCCCATAATAGTATTTCGTTCCAGACATCAAACGACCTATGTAATAGTTCTGGACTCAAATAGCGACTAAAAATAACACACACTCCTTACGTTTGTTGGTGACTGTACCATTATTTATGTTTAGGGCATCGAAATATATCAAATAGTAGCTGTGTGCTTACAAGCAACTTAAAACTCAAGGTTGAACACGTGTAGGTTGCCCGTGCCCGTATATAAGACGTTACTTTTTTGGTATCATCAATTGAATTGTAGATTAATCGCCAAAATCTTGCCTTTGTTTGCGACAAAAGTAAAACGCAGTATGCTATTGAAATTGCAAAAGACTTCTTATCTCGAAATGAATAATGCAACGAAGATAAAAAAAATAAGAAATGCGTCGTTGTAATTTTGTTCCGAAAGCTTTATTGATGAGTATAAAATCTACATGTATTTTTGTACCTAGAGCTGTGTGTATCGGACTATTGATTGAAACACCGAAAATTTGTTGGTAGAGGCTAGATTAGGGTGTTCGATCTATCCATGACGTACTTAATTACAGCTTGCTACCACGACTGCGAAGGTTGACCTGATATCCAATCATTGTGGTACCAGTTATAGTAAGTCTTCAGTGAAACAATGAAAGGAACTGGCGAGGTTTACAAATAAAATCAGATTTATTCAGTTATGATTGTATGCGGACCTTGAGCGCTCCGTGTTGAGACCTTCATGCCGGTAACTGCGCGGAAGTTTGGTTCGCGTTTTTTGTCAGTTTTGTGCTCGTTGAATTTTAGTAGGCATTAGTCACAAGTTAACCTTCGGTGCTGTTGCTCGCGAAGCACTGGCGACGCGTTGCACCGATATACAGTGCAATAACAGCCGCTATCGCAATGTCATAACGTCTTTGTCCGTGCCGATTTCGCGTTGTACATTTACCGCACGGTATTGTCCATTACTTGTATCATTGGGCGACCGCGGCTTGTGTGGGTCGGTCCTAAGCGTATTTTTAAATTGTAGATCTGTTTGGGTGAACAAGTGTTGTGGTATAATCTTATGGTGACTCGTAGTTTTAGTGAGACGTTTTGTGTGTTTGTGATGTGAGGATGTTAGTGCGGTCATGTCGAGTGTGGCGAAGAAAGATAAGCCGACGATGTCAGTGACTGCGCTGATGCAGTGGGCACGGCCGGGAGCCCCGGGCCCCCCGGCGACACCAACGCCTGCCCCCATGCTACAGTCGCCGTGCACGCCAACGAACGTCGATTTCTCAATCGACATGCAATGTAACTATCTCGATTTTTTTTATACATATGGTTTATGTATTTTAGATGTGAAATAACGTGATTACTGTAAGACAAAACATAATTAAATGACGCAGTCCTCGTCAATAATAAATAATAGTAATTCAAAATGATTACATAAATATGAACGATACTGCACCTTTTTTTTTTAATATCTTATCAAACAGCTTTATATATGAAAAGTAAATTACGAAATACAGCGAAATAGGTATTCATAATGTCAGATCCGATTATTTTATATATTATCTCAGGTCTTCTATAAAAGAAAAATGGTTTATAAATTAAGTAGACCGTAGATTCAAATAATACGGTGGGGTTTTTAAAAAAAAATGTCTGCATTATACTCATCAATTTCACATTTGTATGTACTAATAGGTATAAGTAACTACAGCAATAAACGCTTTTATCACTATTATTATACTCAGCAATCATTACATTACATTTAAGAATTACAAGGGGAATGACGATTTGGACTGGGACCTCATTACTTACTAGATGTTTTTTCCAAAGAGCAGTTGGGCTCGTGAGTTACGGTGGACCAATGGATTTTTCTTTCTATATAACCAATATACACATCCCCAAAGGAAACTGGCATGCCTTGGACCCAAAAATTGACTGCGTGTGTCGGGCACAAGCGTTATCACCAATTTGTCTATGAAGAAAAAAATATCAAAAAACCAGAAGCTAGAGAGAGTTTTGAAGAGATTTTGAAGAAATATATGAAATAAATACTAATGAATATACTTCTTTAAAGGATTATATAGAATACTAGTGGACCCCACAGACGTTGTCCTGCATGATATTTAAAGCGATTAGGATATTAAGCAAAGTATGAAAGTACCGACTGCAGTGCCATCTGCCGGGCTGATTTGTGAATCTAAACCATTCCCAGATCCCCTTGAACACACACAAAAAATTTCATCAAAATCGGTCCAGTCGTTTAGGAGGAGTTCAGTCACATACACACGCACACAAGAAATATATATATTAAGATATTCATCAAAGTCAGGTTATCTTAAGTAGTTTTATATCGGGTAATTAACGTATAATTTCTTGAATGTCAAGGTAGCTTTTGCGTGATTGTGGAATGTAATTTAGACGTCATAATCTTTGCGTGTAGAAAATTCATGTTTTTTCTATTTAAATATTTGTTTAACTCTTGGAAAGCTAAATAATACTTAGTAAGAGGTTGATTTAAATCACGACTGTTATAATTCGAAATTGTATAGAATTATAATATATTGTATGTATATAATATTTAAATGTGTTAAGATTAAGACGCCTAAATAGTGATCTTTTGAATTAGTGAAACAAGTGTGTGGTCAATTTTATTTTTTATTTTATTTATACTCCCAAACATAACACTTATGAAAATACGTTAAAAAGCATTAGTCCAATGAAATGTTACATTTGTTGCACAATTGTTAGAGGACGCATTTTTATTTATGGAACATGTATGAACATGGGTCAATACAAGCTTAAACCCAAGTTTGCGGGGTTGGCGCCCTTGTCCCCCGGCCGCCATTTTGGAAAAAGGGGTGAAAAAACGTTTTTGGCTATATCTCCTAAATCGTACAAAAAATTTGTGAAGACATGTTGTAGCTAATCTTATGTGGGAAAATGACATGAGAACATAAGAACTTCCTCACAAATAGTAGACCGCAATATCGCAGCACTCGAGGGACTTTTTGTATCAAAGAAGTCGCTTGGATCTGTCAAGCGTCCGCGAATATACAATATAAATACATAAATACCAATTAGGTAGAAATATAACAAAGCAAAAGAAAATAATAATAATGGTAAATAACTAACACTGTTGGTTGGTAAAACGACTAGGCGAAAGGACTGTTGCTGAAGTCACCGAGTCATTTTTCATCACAGTTTTATTGTTAATATAAGTGCAAGTTTACTTGTGCCAAAACATTATAGAACACTGACTGTTAATGAACATTATCTTAGTTTAAGTTGTACTAGTATGATAGAAAATTTAGTCAGCATATTAAAAGCCGTAAATTTGGAATGGACTAATTCATATAAATACGCGGTACCTTTTGTTATACTTAGAAGAAAGAAAAAAATAAATTTGTAATACTAGCGTAAACAGATTGGGCGTGGCTTGAGTGTACGGCTCTGATCATCATAGGTTTGACAATGTACATTGCTGTGTGGAAACCGATCCATAGACTATTGAGTCTTCTGTGTCCGACACTTCGACTTATTGAAGAAGACTCAGAGGACACAAAAGGCTGATCTACTTGCCTATTAGAAAATGTATATAACGAAACAGATACATAGAAATCTGTGCTAAGACCAAGGGTTGTAGTGGTTACTCGTGTCGTAGTTATACACAGTCTATGCTAGCTATGCACCCCTCGCTTCTATTTGAATATAGAACAAAAGGAAAATTAAAGCCTTTTGAAGCCTATTTCCCTAAATGACGGGTAACAGTTAACGGGAGACTTTTTTAAAATTAAATAATTTTTGTATACCTTTATTTTGCCATCGTTATATATATATATATATTGGGCAGTTCTTGTAATTATCATATAATGTGTTTTTTTGTCAATTTGTATTCGTCATTCATTGGGTATATAGATGACATCATTGTTCTGTTGCCTACCTATTTTTTTACCTATCAATTGCTATCTGTTTTTCAGTTTGTGCATATATTTACATTATGTTTAATTATAACGTGTAATGATTGGGTATTTTAATACAGAACTGCTATTGGGACAGTCAAAGGGTCAATAAATTCATAATAAATTATACTAATTCCGCAGATTTGCTTGCTTGGTAAAAGAATTGGTGACAATACATGTTTTGGTATTATATTGATTTAATTGACTTTTTCCCATCAGTTTTTATCAGTAAAAGGGCGAAATTGTCGCTAAAAAGTAAACCAATTCCATTAAAAAATAACCTTATTTCATATATTGTTAATCATAGTTTGGTTATCATGGCTAAACGCAGTGTAAATATATTAAGGTATAGAAAGTAATTAGCAGTGAGAGCAGCGTTGGCCTAGTGGCTTCAGCGTGCGAGTCTCATCGTTCGATCCCCGGTACCAATGGACTTTCTTTCTTTCTGTGCGCATTTAACATTCGCTTGAACGGTGAAGGAAAACTTCGTGAGGAAACCGGCTTGCCTTCGACCTGAAAAGTCGACGGCGTGTGTATGGCACAGGAGTCTGATCACCTACTTGCGTTTAAGATGGACAAATGATCATGAAACAGATTCAGAAATCTGAGGCTGGGCCTAAAAAGGTCACTGATTTATTTTTATTTTTTATAGAAAGTATTGAGCCTCCGATGAAGCAGAAATAGACAATTCTCTTCTATATGTCAAAAAAGTAGTTGTAAGACCTGTATTTCTTTATAGATCTTACAGACGCAATATATGGTACCTATAATATAGCTTTTTAATCAACGTGTCAATCTTCAGTAATAGAGAACTTTGTAAAGGGATTAATGTTTATTCAAATCAATCAAAACTAAGATTGTATGATTTCACTTTGGCAATTTGCCTCCACTTTGAGAGTGATTGTTTTGAATGTGTTCATGTGAATTGAATATTAATTTCCATTCGATTTAGTACATGCTCCCTTTGATCTTGGGATGTCAATAGGACTTATATATATACAATTAAGACTTTCTTCAAGGGAATTAGTATAATATGTTAAGTAGCTTTGCGCTGAACTATGTGAATACTTGAAAGAAAACTAGTAAAGAGATATATTTAGAGTTTGGTGTGCAAGTAGTATTACAGCATCATTTATACTCGTCTTTATAAAATAGAAATTAAATTTTTAGTGTCAATGGATTAATAAGATGCTATATCATATTGAACTATTATGCATAACATTTAAAAATTACGGCTTTATTTAAAAGACTAGAAAGAAAATCAATAGAACAGACACAGAAATTACTGATAACGGATTAAGACACAACAAGTAGTTGATAATCATAATGAAAAATATGTACGCCTAAAACTGTCCAGAAATTAGAACAACTTAAATTTTTATATAAATCATTTTATTCGGTCTTTACATAAAAATAAGTTAATAAAGCAATATTAATCCCGTAATTGGCATTCACACACTTTTATGTCTGAGCCAAAGAAAATATAAATTAGGATAACTTCATGTCGGCAGATAATTACCCGTATTGCTTTCGGTTTTGAAATGAAGACTGTAATTTGAGTTTCAAAGCTATTTTCCGTTTCATTTGAGTCTAATAATAGTAATAGATTAGGCTTAAGCTTGCGTCTCTAATCCCTGAGATCGCAGGTTCGATCCCCAGATGTGCACCAATGGCATTACTGTCTATGTACGCATCTAACACTTTCGTGTACGGTAAAACGGGTATGTGACATCTGAAAATCAACGACATGTGTCAGATAAAAGTCTGCTTGTCTATGAAATAAAATGATCAAAGAAGCGGATGCAATCATAGGGAAATCCCCTTATAATTGGACCCGTATGTGGGTTGTAGCGCCACTGGATCATTATTATTAATATATATTAATAGAATAAATTGTCTATGAATCCCTTATGTAATTGTCCTTTTGACATGAATGTTTCTAAATCTTATAGAGCCTGATCGCCTGCGCTGAGAATTGCACAAAGCAATTCTAGCATAGTCTTACGTGTGTGTACTAAGCATATTTAAGTAATTACAAAGGATAGTTACAAAGTAATAAAAAAAGAGCCTTTTTTATTTTTTGCAAGAGAACAAAGTAAACAATCCTATTATATATATTTTTTTAAGAAAATAAATTACACAATTTTGTTTTCGTATTTTTATATCAATTTCCCATTTTGCAAGAACAAGACAAAGTAATACAATTTCTAAAAGTTTTTCTAGAAGTTATTTTAACCTAGGACTAAATTAGAACAACTAAGTAAATATATAATGATTAGTACTAATTGGTTTGTGATACTTTCGAATACTTAGCGAATGTTGAGGTATTATAATCAGTGGTAAACACTTAAAAATTTATATTGAGTATTTCAAAATGGACGATAGACATTATCTTGATCTACTTTCTTTGTTACTGATCATTCGCATTCACTGTATCAGATAAGGTTTATTTTTCTGTCCTTATCGCCTTTGTAATATAATTCTGTTATAGGAACAAAACTAACAAATAGTTCTTAATATTACAATGTCTTTTGGGCATTTGTACTACATTTTTATTTATTTGTCCCATAATATTGTACATGATTAACACATATATATTATATAGTACAGTTAAGCGAGCCATAGACGGACCGCATGTTGCAGTCAAGACCGACTGCAATATGCGGTCGCCGCACGGCGATCTGCAGTTTCCGTACTAAATTCATATTCGCAATACACGGACCGCTCGAGCAATTCCTGAGCAAACCGCATATTGCAGTCGGTCTTGACTGCAACATGCGGTCCGTCTATGGCCCGCTTTAGAATAACAATATATTAGAAGAAATTATATCAGTTACACAATTTGTGTTGTACAATCTTCTTTTTCTTTAGGCGCGGTCTTCCTGAAGGTCCTGTGTGTGTTGCATAACTTCCTCTATTCCCCCATCTTCGGCAATCCATTGCGCCTAAGGCCTGTAACGATCTAAACAGGGAGCAGTGGATCGGATAGGTTCTCGTTTATTTTAGTGCACCGGTCACCACCAGGTTCTAAGTTATCGGGACTCGCGTGCTATGTATCCAAAGAATCTCAGGATCCTTTGGTCACACGCTGAAGAAAGACGTTCACTCTTGTAGTTGTCTCAGAATTGATAAATTCGGGAATCCAGAGCATCACACCACATTTCAAAGGCATCTATTCTCCTTTTGGATGCTCGCAGAGTCCAAATTAACGTCGTATATGAAAACGGTTATCAATTTCCAAAGTAGTGTTTCACTTAAATAGATATATGTATGTTTTTTTTATAGATTGGAACGTGTTGCTTATTCACCTTACCATGAAATTAACTCATGATATCATATAGCGTGTCATCTTTCATGAGTTACACCTCAGCATTAACTGTTTTGATGTTTACTGTATCGTGTAATTATTTATATATGAGTTTATTATGTACGATTTGCAAAGCAATTTCCATAAAAGTAATTTAACTCAGATCTTTTGATAATACTATTATTTCACATTTAGCCTTTAGGCTAATATAATAATGGTCCTATGATATTTACGTGTAATTTAGATTGCTAAACTTGAACAACTGGGAAGTCACTCTGTAATTGGAAGCATTTCATATCTATTTAATTTTAAGTGAAAATTTGAAATTGAAAATGAATCATTACAACTATTATGTACCTACATAGGGATCTGCTTAGCGGTGGAGGTTAAATTTCAACCCTGAGGTGGTGTGTTTGATAAGAATGTTTCTGTCTTTATGAACAATACTTACCTACGTACGAAAGGAAAATATGTTTTACGAAATATGCATATCTTAACGAAAATCGACGACCCTGAAGTAGCCATAAAAAAGAGCAATAAAAACAAATGATGACATCTGTGGCCCATCCAGGGTTGTTACGCCACTGAAGAATAACAAAATGTACCGAGAATTAAGTCCCCATTGTTACCAGTCGCCTATACTAATATTTTGACCCCTAAACGAGAGTCTGTCTCGATATTTTAAAGTGAAGGTCCCCTAGAAAGCCCTTTATTAAATTTTCATCAGATGCTTTTGTTTGCACACTTTTTGCTTCTAATGAACCGGTTGTCTGCGGTTTCATGCTTTTATTTTAGAACTACATTCGCATCACATTTTGCTTTCATTGAGCATAATGTCTTTTTGCCTTAGTGGAGCTTTGGATTATAAATTAAATTTAACGTATCCTGCGACGGGTTGATTATTATGATGTTTTTATTTGTTTAAAATATAAAATTGCTCAGCAGCGGACCTAACAAATGTCGACCCAACAGTCTTTGTAGTTGAATGATTCAGGGATTTTGACACATTCCTAGTTCGTAAGTCTCAACTCGGAATCTTACTCGACTGTGTCTCTTGGCACTCTTCATTTTGTATCAATTAAGATATATATACTGCTCAAAACAATTAGCGGAACAAGATTTTTCTCCTTTCTATTGCTTAAACTAAAATTAGATTTAAATTAACTTCTACGCTATTTTTTACCTTGTTAATTTGTTAATTACTACAAACTTTAAAAATTAACAAATTAACAAGGTAAAAAATAGCGTACAAGTTAATTTAAATCTAATTTTAGTTTACGCAATAGAAAGGAGAAAAATCTTGTTCCGCTAATTGTTTTGAGCAGTATATTATCTAATGTATTGTAAACAGAGTTAAATATATATATATATAAAAATCAAAACAATAAAGGTATAATGTCTATCGGATTTGCTAGATGTTTGTTCAATTTAACAATAATTTTGTGCATTGTCGTCGCGACGTCAATAAAGGATGCGATTAACTGATCTTCATGACCTAAATAATGTGATAGGGGAAAATAACTGCAATTTACTTCTGTTAAAGTCGCTTTTTGTTTGCAGGGCTGAACCTGGAGCCGGGGTTTATGTCGCCAATGTCACCGCCTGAGATGAAGCCAGACACAGCAATGTTGGATGGCGGGATGCGAGATGATGCCACATCTCCGCCCGCGTTGAGGAGCTATCCCCCAAATCATCCTTTGAGTGGATCAAAACACCTGTGCTCAATATGTGGTGACAGGGCGTCAGGCAAACACTATGGGGTGTACAGGTAGCTAATAAAATATCGTATTCCAGTTATGTTATAAACCGACGAAAACGTTAATTGTGATTGTTTTAGTCGGTAATAGGAAAATACCATACAAGTATTTACTATTAACTATCATACTTAGGGTCTGTTTCACAATGTATGGATAAACTACCAAATAGCTATGCAACATATACATTATTTGGAAGATAAATTGTGCTATTTGACACCTCATCGGACTCGTTACTTATGATGTACTTTATGTGACGAATAGCGCTATCTGACAGTCGTGAAACGCAACAATAGTGTTTATCCTACCAATAAGTAATAAATAGCTAATTTGGAACTTATGTAGAACTTATCCGTACATTGTGAAACAGACCCTTAGAGTCTATAATTTATTGTGGATTATTGTTATGCACAAAGTCAGTAAAAGATAATCAAAATTGTGTCTTAACTACATCAAGCTTTCTTTGGAATATTAGTGAATTACATCGTATTTCAAATTTCTGATGAATTTATATTATTTGTTATAATATTACAAAGTCACTAAAACATAGTCAAAATTCTGTCTTAACTACACGGATTTAGAATTTTAATTTGTAAATTACGTTTTTTGATCTCGAATACTCCCCTATTTTATGTATTACCACATAAGAAATTATGTATGAAATACCTACAAGCAGCTAGGCATTTCATTTTCAATTACTTTCATCGGCAGATGTTCCATAAATGTGGATTGCAATTCATCATAGCTATAAATAGTACATTACAAGGTAGGCGCCCACGGAATCTCCACATCCACAACTATACACTTGGTATATCAACTGCCTCCGTTTTTAGCCGTTATAACATTTGAAAAATTGATTTTTTAGACTGCAGTGTGCTTTAGTAACATAGATATTTGAACCATGAAACCGAATATGTATTGTGTCATGTTATGTACTCTGAAATCGATAAAATAATTCTAAAAAAATAAAAATAATATAAACAAAAATGTAAAAGCTAATCCTAGGGTTAATAAGTCACAATTAATATATATACGTAGCTAATTACGAGGGAGAATATAAATGATCAAAAAGAAGATTTTTAAATATATAGTTAAAAGAGTGTAAAGGGTTGCCAATTAATCCCCCAGTTTTTTTATTAAAACAAAAAATGTTACGTAACGCGTTGTTCAAATAACCCCCCTCCCGCCCATGTAACGCACTGTAACGTTTCAAAAGACTCTCCCCTCCCCCCAAATTGCGTTACGTAATACTTGAACGCTCCCTAATCAGACTTAGTTTGGGAGAAGGGAAGAGGATTTGGGAAGGGAGTAGGACTTTAAAGCGCAATATTAGTTGCAATAATGTTAGTAGCATAATTTGTTGTTATATTAACAAAAACAATTTTATATGAAGACTGTTTTAGGTAAATATCCTTAACGTGCGAAGTAAATTCAACATTTAAAGTATAAGCTGTCTGCAAACGCGATTACTATAATACATACACAATATAGGAACGTCTAGACTCCTAGACTGGTATGTTTTAAACTAATAGAAGCTATGAGACAGGTGCGGAGATATTTTGATTTTTATTAATTTCTTTATGGACTTATATAAAGGATTTTTCATACAAACAGTCTAGAATTTTCTAACTTAGAAACTATTAACGACAAATATTCTCTGATTTTAATCCTGTCTAGTACAGGGAAGTCCGCACTCTGCACTCGTCACAAATTTTAGACAATGATTTCTCTATACTGAAATATAACTTTTTAGATTATTGATTATCTTCTGAATATTGTATTTGATTATCGTTTGGAAATTGATAGCGTGTCATTCCGTATACATTGTAGTAGATATGTATGTACATTGGAACAATTTACAATTCTAACGATCGTCGGACAATTTAAATGTCAATCTAGATATGTTTTCACCTTGAGAATTCTGTATGTAGGTAAAATGGTTTAGATAATCTGTGCGTCGATGGATTTATGTGCGTAGAGTACACGCCACCGATGTTAACGAAAAAAAAAACTAAATTTGACAACTCAGCCATGTTGTTCAGTGTTCCTCCAAATTTAGGGGGAATTAAGATGTTCAGGGGGATTTTTAGGTAATATATTAATTAAAAAAAAACTTACGAGGCTATACAATTTATATTAATCCTCGAACGCAAACAAACTAAACCAAATATAAACTCCAAATGTAGCTATAACTGAATATATCAAAATACTCAGCTTAATGCTCAAATAATCTGCTATTAATTTTTTACGGTGTAAACATATTAAGGTGTCATGTGTCCAAAAATTAAGAACTGTGGGAGGCATTTGATCACTTACTTATTTATAAATAATTATTATTAAAGAAACAGGTCTAGATATGCCATTTGAATAGTTTTACTCAACTGCAGATAAAGTTGTTTGTTTTCATAAAATCGTTTGTTCAGATCATCACTAGTCTATAGATGGAGGGTTTCAGAACTATATTTGGTGTTTTTATTGTCCTTTACCGTGAGAGATTGTAGTTTATAAATTAAGATTTTAGGTAGGGACCTTAGCATGCTTTAGCGATTTAAATAATAATTACATGCATTTTAAATTAGCAATTATTACCCTTAATGAATATTATTTTTGATTTCCAAGTCAAACGCGTTAATATGACTTATATAGAAACATATGTAGGAAAACGCTTCAAGTTGTTTATTTTGATGGCGACTTCATCTGATTGGAATTCATAATGATGACAACTTGTTATATTGGTTGATAATATGAGCAAATTATTCATATATATGAATATCAATAATGAAGATTTTATTATTACTAGATTATGTGTAATAAGTAAAATAAAATATTGCAAATTTATAATAACTTACCTGTCATAAATTAATTTAATCTGTTTAATTATTCAAATGCTCGATATTGCTATACGATACATGGAAGTCACAGGCTCCTGAAATACAGTTCAATATAAAATAATTATTATTATGGATAACTGTTTACTTTTCTCAGAATCGATTCATGATCCTGGTACACGGGCCGTTGTAGGAATTTGCGGGTTGTTCTTGCTTTAATATGACTGCTATTTATAAGGGTAATAAATGTATTTTGGAAGGTAGAAATTTGATAGATTCGTGTAACTGTTATTATTATTATAGGTGCAGTGGAAACAGTTGGAGGTGACCTAATCCAAAAAACATATGTATATAAAATATGTAAATAGATATATCTTCTTTTATTATTCAATTAAGTTATTTGACTTTATTTCCAGTTGCGAAGGCTGTAAAGGTTTCTTTAAAAGGACAGTACGGAAAGACTTGACATACGCGTGTCGAGAAGAGAGGAATTGTATCATAGACAAGCGGCAAAGGAATCGGTGCCAGTTTTGTAGATACCAAAAATGTCTGGCGTGCGGGATGAAGAGAGAGGCCGTGCAAGAAGAGAGACAGAGAGCCGCAAGAGGGGCAGAGGATGCACATCCAAGTAGTTCTGTACAGGTATGTTTTCGAAAATATTTGATGTTTTTCACCTTAGTACTAAACTCTTTATTCTAAAGTAACATTCTATAAAAATTTGGCATCACCGTGTTTATGGCACTCGGTTGAAAAGGTTTGATCTATTTTTATGATATTTACTTGTATATATAGGGTCGAATAAAATGTTTGTTTTAAAATCCTTTAATCAAAGAAGGCTGTATACATTACGACCGAATTCAGGAAGGTGAAATGGCATGGCTAGTTACTTATATATTTTACTACGTTTTTCTTCTTTTATGTATGTACGCTGTTAATTATAAATAATAATCAACAACAACGAATATTAGTGAAACATGAATGAAAGAAAAACAGAAATGTCTGCCCTACATTATGCCGTTTTATTTATAACGCTTAAAAATATAAAACGAAACGATTTATTTTGGTTTTAACGTAATTATAAATAATTAATCTTAAATGCTTCGTATTTTAACTATACGAGTTTTATTGGACACTTTTAAGCTTAATTGCTTGGAATTATTCGGCTCGAAAGCTTTTAATCTGTTATGTGCTTTAATTATATAAAGCCTTTGATGCTAACGTATTATTTAATGGGTTGTGTAGAGTTCACAGAATAGAAGATAGATATTTTAATGGTATTTTGTGGGTTAAATGAACTTGTGTATAAAAATATTTATATAATCTCATTCGGTAATATTCTAATTAAGAAATGAAATACAGACTTTTATTGGCATATTTTATATACATACTTCTTTAAGAAAATTAAAAAATTAAATTAAAGCATTATTCTCCTAACAAAACAATGCTTTAAAATATTTTTTTAATTATTAAAGTACAATGTGTCCCGACCAAGGAGGTTTCAATTCAATTTAAGTATACATAATCTGTGGTGAGCACGCTGCGCGAGCAACGCGCTAGTTCTGAGCTAATATACCAAGAACAGACTTTTTCCATTTTGGCGCTATTTCATACATACGAATTATGAGTAATATTTTGTTGGATAAAACTTTAGTAGCAAAAGTGTCAAGCAACACCGACGATACCGATGAAAATTTAACTCGACGAATAGTCTTTTGCCAGAAAAATCAAGAAAAGCGTACGACAAATGTTACCAAGACTTTATGACTTGGAAACCCATAGCCATGAGATTAAATGAAGTAGAGTATGCAACTGCATATAATTAGGTATTATATGACAGTTGCATAAACTACTATTTTGTTTCCTTCAAATCGATAAAGCATTATCGACATGTGTTTAAATAACGTAACGGAAAGGCTAAAACGTGTAAAATTTATCGATTCAAGGCCGCGTTGAAAGGTTGCGGACAATTCAACAATTTAAAATGTCTGGCAGCGTCATTCTTATTGATATTTTCCTGTTTGTAAAGGGCTCCATTTTCCTTGATATTAATGGGATATAGGGTTGTGTAGTGCTTTGTACGTGAAAAATGAATTGATAAAATTTATTTGCTCAACAGTATTCCTACAGCTACTTACTAAACAAAATCCAAAAATTTACATTGTACACAAAAGCCAAAAACGGAAAACACATTCAAACATAAACAAAGCACAGTTTCACCTATATATACAAAAAAATATAACAAAGTATATATGTATTTATAATAAATTCTAAATTCTAAGTTCTAAGATTCATTGATCATTATAACATATATTTAATATAGAGGAAGAATAACAAAGCCATTATCAATGAAAGATATGTACCAGAATTTTTTAAATTATTAAAAAAAAAATTTAGTTACATTAAATATATCTATTTGCTGGTAATTTGTGTTATAATCTGAAGGTATACGATACATGACTGAGTTACGTAAATCGTTTGTATTAGACCGAGGAATTTTAAATAGTTTGCCTTGTAATGTATAAAGAAGGGGTGTGAAATAGTAAAAGCGACAATAAGTCAGGACAGTCAAATGGTCGTGTATTTGTGGTGGCACTCCTCAGAAACGGTTCGATCCTGTCCTATATATTTTTTGGTATTTCTTTTAGAAAAAATTATCATTCTATAATGTATTCTACAAGTCATTACTTTCTGCCACTGTAATGGACGTACATTTTGCTCACTCAGGCTTACTTGTTTTATAAGCGTGGCGATTTCCTAATTCTTCGGAGTTACGCCCCGAAAGTATAGCCACGTAGGCACTCTTTTTAGCATTATAAGGGTAGCATTTTATTTAGCATTAACTTATTATTTTTTTTAAACGTAAGTTATTAATAGAGTGAACCAGTAGAACCAGGAAACATTCAGACAACTGTTCTAAAGTATTGTCTTCACCTCAGCTTAAAGTCAATTTAACACAATTAGACCAAGTTAATTTTCAGAGAAAAATATTAGTTTTAATTGTTCAAGTGGAATGATTGATAAAATGTATGTTGTTAATATTCTTGGCTTATCGAATGATACTGAAAATCATCATTGTGTGTTTGACCGCAAAAAGCGTAGATAAATATACAGCTGTCATTTCCGGGGCCCTTTTATTTGACCAAGGACAATGTTGTTTTGAATTATTTATAGTAGTAGCTATTTCCTTATAAACTTCGTCATATTATATATGGCGATAGCGTCATTATAATTTAATAATAATGAGTTTTTTTTAAAGAATGAAATTAAAATTTCAGGAGCTATCGATCGAAAGGTTATTGGAGATGGAGTCTCTGGTGGCTGACCCCAGTGAAGAGTTCCAGTTCCTTCGAGTGGGTCCCGAAACTAACGTTCCGCCTCGATATAGGGCTCCCGTTTCCAGTTTATGTCAGATAGGTAACAATTGAAGATTAGAAATATATAATCTTTACTTGATTGTATTATACTTTGCAAAAATATATTTTAGTTTACAGTCTGTGAACATAGATGGCGTGAATTTTAAATAATTTAAATTAAATTAAACTTGATTCAACAGACTGTAAAGGCTTTTAAAACCAAATTACTACAAGATTTTGATCATTCTAATAACGTTTAGAAAATAAAATCTTTTGATTGTTAATTGAATAAAAAGCCAACTCACCACCATGACGAGGTCACTTGCTTGCCTCACTATTTATTTTCACTATATTATTTATTTAATTGCGCTCTTAGAAAAAGTTTGTGTACTCGTGAGGTGCGAATGCACGGTACCATTGTAGATAACCACGTTTATTATGGGTTATTTAAGTAGTAAGAAAAATAAGTTAATTGATATTTATCCCAGAACCATCTCCTATACGGAAATAAACGTCCGTATCTTTTATTTTATCCTCAATAGTAATCAATTAAGAACCAATATAGCACTGTTGGCCTAGTGGCTTCGTGCGCGTCTTACCCCTGAGTTCCGGTACGATCTGTGCTGTGCACCAATGGATTTTCTATGTGCGCAATTACACTTGCTCGTACGGTGAAGGAAAACATCGTGAGGAAACCGGCATGCCTCAGACCCAAAAAGTCGATGTGTGTCAGAAAGTTGATCACCTACCTACTTGCCTATTAAAAATAATCACGGAACAGATACAGAAATCTGAGGCCAAGACCTAAAAGATTGAACCGGCATTGGTAGAACCTTTTAGGACCAAAACGATTTGTCAATACTAATTACCAATTAGTATTGACTTTAAAAATTTAAATTAATCTGCCAAAACGCTTCTCGAGTTGTACCAAGACTGTAAACACTTAAACTTATAAATAAACTAAAATATAAACTGTGCTAATTATCATTCTTAAATTACACAAATTCACATATTTCGCCCAAAAGTATGCTACATCGTCGATTCGACTAATCTGTGACCGTTTTGTGTCACGTGACTGACGTATGTCAATAAATGTTTTTTTTACTTCATAACGCATTTTAAAGCCATTAGACCAGTCAGTCAAGACAATTAATTCATAATAATTCCAAAAGTTTTCTAATTTTGATGTAAGGTCGGGAGTGGTATTAAAACAAACTATAAAATTTTGCAACCTTCTCTGCGGTCCGGAACATTGTTAAAAATAAGTTTTGGTCGTGAAAAAAATTCCAAAAGTTCTGCAAACTTGGGGAAGTTTTCGATATAATATTTCATATCACGTATAAAATTTGCAACCAACCTAAGTGTACGGAACATTTTTTGTTATTAAAAATTAATGTTTTTCTTTATTAAACTGAAGGAAAACGTTCCAAAAGTTCTGCAAATTTGACAGATATATCGAAAATAAAATAAATAACAAAAAATGTTCCGTACACTTAGGTTGGTTGCAAATTTTATTCGTGATATGAAATATTATATCGAAAACTTCCCCAAGTTTGCAGAACTTTTGGAATTTTTTTCACGACCATACAGCAAAAATTAATTTAATTGCAATTTTAACAATGTTCCGGACTGCGGACAAGGTTGCAAAATGAGATTTATTGTCGTCCCAATGTACCATTCACTTGACCGAAGTTTGAAAACTTTTGGAATTATTATCAAATTTTCGATTTCGAATGTCTATAATGACTGGCCTACATGTTTTCTACAGTCCTTATTCCATACTGTCAAATAGTCATAAAATCATATTATGAACCAACATTTTTTTCAGGTAACAAGCAAATAGCGGCTTTAGTAGTGTGGGCACGTGACATCCCTCACTTCAGCCAACTAGAGATGGAAGACCAGGTGCTGCTGATTAAGTCTTCCTGGAACGAGCTGCTGCTCTTCGCGATCGCATGGCGGTCTATTGAGTACCTGGAGGATGAGAGGGAGAACATGGATGGGACGAGAACTGCCTCTCCGCCGCAACTTATGTGTCTCATGCCGGGTAACTTATTCTTTTAAAATTCGTATTTTTTTGTTATCACTTAAAACACTTATTGATTATAGGTAAAAAGAATATCCACATATTATTCTTAAAGCATAGTTTTATAAATTAATACAAAATTACGAATAAAGTAAATAAGGCTGTTTATTTCCAATCCATTGTTTACAATTACAAATTTTCATTTATTTTATATATTTTTTTTTCTCTCTCCTCGGAACTTCCTTCAGTACCCTTGATTTTACCCATGGCTTTCTTTCTCCATTCTTTTCTATATTATTTTCTTCGTTATTTTCTTTTCCATTATTTTCTTCGTCTGTATACCGTTTTCTAGGGCGTTCTCTATCTTCGTGTAAAATTACTAATAGCAACATAATCTTACTTGACTAACACAGGTTTTTGCACCTAACGTTAAGATACTAAATACATATTTTAGGATTTAAAACTGATTCGATTCTGTTTTTAACTGACTTGCAAAACCCGCGGAGGTTACTCTTACTTGTTATGTACGATGTATCATGCAATATACAGTATAGACGTTTTCCTACATTTTTAGAAAATCTAAAATGTAGATTCAGAGTTATCTTCCCTTGAGAGAGCCCTTAATAATTACTGTAACTAAATGTCTGAACTTATTTTAAGTATGTCAAGGAAGAAACATAACAGTGTATAAACATAACATAAATTGTCGATCAATTTGGATGATTTCGACCGACGTATTTTGAATTTATAAGTAGTAATAATAACTTAAATAAATTTAAGAAGTTTGGAAGATTTAATGTTTAATAAGTGCCTGTGGACTTGAACCCCACGTCCCAAGTTTAACTGCAAAGGGAATAAATACATTGTTATTATTGAAATTAGCATTTTTGAAAATACTTAAGTCTGAAAGAGAATAGTCATGAGATCTGCGGTCGCAACAGTACTAACTTATTTTTCTTATATTGACAACGCTCTTCATAAAAAGTAATTGTGAATAAATGAAATGCGTAGAATAAATTTATTTGCATTATCGTCCCGAATCTCTTTCCGCACAGACTCAAAATAATTCGTGTATTCCAGGCATGACGTTACACCGTAATTCGGCACTCCAAGCGGGCGTGGGTCAAATCTTTGACCGTGTGCTGTCGGAACTGTCTCTGAAGATGCGCGCTTTACGCATGGACCAAGCAGAGTACGTCGCACTTAAAGCCATCGTCTTGTTAAATCCAGGTAATATTTTCATATTATCTATTGTTCTAAAATTCAATTACGGTGTAATAAAAATATACAATAAACGGGAGAGAGAAATGTAAGTACTCAAAATTCTACAAAACAAATTTCGTTCTTTGTCTTAAAGTTTACTTTATGATTTTCGATTAATTATGCACAAAAACGAAAAGAAAATACCTTTTTTTGGTATTAAGTTTGCGTTTGTTATAGTTATACTAAGAATACTATTTTTTTTATCAATTTTAATACATTCATAATACGGCGCGATCTGAGTGGGGCTTTACGTACACATAGAACCGCTAGATGGTACTCGAGTGATAAACAACGATCACGTGTAAATAAACATTATTTTGAATGTTTTTTTTTTGTTTTTTTTTTATGGTAATAGTTTAACTTTATGCATTTGAATGGTTTCGTCTTATTAAAATGAATATCACAGATTTTGAAAAATATTGTTCAATATAAAAGCAAACTTTGCTTTAAAGTCAAAGTCAAATTTTGTGTTAACCCGTGCTATTTACCTTAAAAGTGAAATAGATTACTGCCTTGCGATTCTGTAATTCACTTTTCGAAGTCTTACAGCGGTTTTCGCAGCGATTTTACGATTTGGCATTCTGATAAAGAATAAACTACAAGCCTCCTTATCAGAATGCCAAATCGTAAAATTACTGCTTTACGACTGATTTGAGCGCGACTGCCGCTGCGAAATGTATGCGGCTGTATCTGTTTCATGATAACAGCCGAGTAAGAGATTTCCTCACAATGTGATCCTTCACCATTTGAGCGAATGTTAATTCCGCATATAGAAAAATTCATCCCTGTTTCGAGACACTAAAGCCACTACTAGGCCAACTGCTCTTTAATCTATAGTGCATTGTTTATATCTGCTGGTTAGAGTTTTGATATATATCTGGGCATTTAATAGTTTAAATTACTTCTATCTATCTATCAATATGTTCTAACGATCTAAACAATTTTTCATAAATTTAAATTTGTTCTAATAAAATTAATAGTCAAGAATTTATTTAAAGTTCCATAACACAAGATTTATTCTATATTTGCAGATGTAAAAGGACTGAAAAATCGCCAAGAAGTCGACTTACTACGAGAAAAGGTACTTACTATAGTAGACGATTTGAAAGAAAAAGATATTCTAGTTTAGAGATAACATGTAAGTTTATCTTAAGTGGTTCCTTAAGCAGTCGCGTTGTTAAGCTGATTAGATTTCAATTGGTAAGAAATAAGTAGTTTTAATTACGATTGTTAGTTTTCCTAACTAACAACAATTTAACCAAGTACTTCACAATGTATATGGTTTGTTTTTGTTTATGTAAACGCACGAGTAAAAATAACATTTTATTTCTTAAAAAGGTTTACTAAACCTGGAATTAGTAGCCAGTGATGCGAGCTAAAGAATAAAATAAAGTAATTAAAGTTAATTAATATATTGTTCGTGATATTGAAATATTTGTTATTTTTGTATTAGGTCACTTGAGTAATAAATATTTAGATTAACCTTTTTGTAGGTAAAACATTAAAAATACATAGCATTTTTTTATTGCCCTCAAATAAGTCAAATTTGTCCCATTTTTGGTGGAGAACTTCTTTAATAGCAACACTTATGAAATGTTAGAATTCTACGGAATTAAAATCAGAGTATAGGTGAATTTATGCAGAGTATAATTTACAATCATTAGAATGTTAAAAATCTAGTGGTGTAATCCTAAATGGATCTTGGTCCTAGATTGCAAAACTTTGGTCATATTTATTTAGACAAGTCTCTGATCAGCCTTCTGTCTGAGACATGCCGGTTTCCTCACGATATTTGCCTTCGCCTTAGGGGCCGTTCAAGTATTACGTAAGCAGATTTACTGCAATATATCCCCAAAAGTAAGCAAAGCTCTCAAAAACAATGGTACATAAACATATTAATTTTTTGTAGGAATCCTCGCCAATGCATTTCGTTTTCAAGCATAGACAATGCGTGGGTAATCTGTGTAAAAATGTACATAATAACTGTTAACGTAATCACCAAATAAGAAAATCAAAGACCCCTCCCCCCCTCCCCTATAGTGCATACGGAATGCTTGAACGGCCCCGTACGAGTGTTAGATGCGCACATAGAAAGCCCATTGGTGAGAGTCGTACGCTGAAGCCACTAGGCCAATACTGCTTTTCAATTCCTTATACTAGATAACATTAAAATACGGTATTGTAAGAATGTTCATACAAATCACAGTTATAAGACAGATTTTCTCATTTTTCATTTCCAGATATTCTCTTGCCTGGACGAGTACTGCCGGCGGTCGCACAGCACGGAAGAGGGTAGATTCGCATCTCTCATTTTGCGTCTACCCGCATTACGCTCCATTTCTCTAAAGAGCTTCGAACACCTGTTCTTCTTCCATCTGGTGGCCGAAGGCAGCATCAGCAGCTTTATCAGGGAAGCTTTAAGGATGCACGCACCGCCCATAGACGCGAATTCTATGATGTAGGTGAAATAGTTAAAGGTATCATGTATTGCAAAAATAATAGTTTATTAGCGTAGGAAAAGCATACGATTGTATCTGATGTACCTAAAATTTACTAAAAATTATAAATTAATAATTTTCGTGTAATTAATTTAAACTAAAGCATATTACATGTTTAGTAAAAGGAATACTTTAAGAGTTTAAAACTTCTTTGTCACGACGGCTATAAATAATATGGTCACAAATTGTGACTGTTAGCTGTTAAATATCCAAAAATTCGGAAAGTAATATTGAAAAATTCTAACTTATAATATAATTGACTTCTCAATTAAGCTTTTAAGAGTTTAATTTGATTTATAACTTTCTATACTTTACAATATGTGATACTTTTAATTCGTAAGAACGTCTGTTTTATTAAATAAATTGATAACTCATTTACCGAACATTACACGAATGTACGAACGACCCTAAGCCTGATAATATTATTTTCTTATATTTATATTTAACTAAAAAAACTTATAAAATTCCTATAAAACGTAATGTTTTGTCTTTATCAATCAGAACGTGAAATAAGTCAAAACATTTTTCAACTAATTCGGGATTATGACAGCATTAAATTGTAATTTTCCTACTTTATGTTTAGCTATGTGTAGATCATTTGCTATAAAGAATTATTGAAACAGACTCAGTAATGCCCAATGCCCCACTCGACAGTTTACGGCCGTTTGTACAAGGTCTATTTGTACAAGTTTCGTTTGGTAGAATTTTTTTAACGAATTTGAGATTTGAAAATCATGCCGATATCGGGAATTATGTTTAAGTTAATTTTAGTGTCATATCACGTGACAACCAAAGCTAGATTTTGACAAATTCTTACTATATTTATTTCTGATTTGCATTTAGGTTTTGGTAGAACTACACATATTTACTACTTATACAAATTTATTTTAAGATAGGAAATTTATTTTAAGTATTGTGTACGCGTATCGTCATTCCGTAGTGCAAAGGCCCGAATAGAAAATACTTTGTCTCTATATTTTTATATAAATTCTGTTATTGATTGAAATTAAAGTTTTCCCTCTTTACGAAATATACACCAGCAATATTAAGATAAAATATAATTTTAGTTATATATTTTCTAATGTCGTTAAAAATTTCTTATCTCTAAACTCTTAAAAGGATGATTGCCAAATTTATTGAATTCATAATTTTTATTTCTTTTTCTCAAAGTTTGTATAACCTGCCTGTACAGAAACAGAAAATAAATTATGCTGCAGAAACAAATAGTACACAATTTTATCGGGACGGTTGTTATCGTTTTTACACTATGTATTGCGTAACAGATATTTGGCATTTTGAATGGAATCGCCGAGAGCAGATTCCATATTCTTGGTGCTTTTCGAAATTTTACATTTTACACTTGTAAATATATCACAAACTAAATAGGCCTATCATTTTCAATTAATGTTTCGCAGTTAACATTTTGTAGCAGTATTAGAAGTAATTTTAATCAAATTCACTTTGTACAAAGTTGCACACGAAATTATGAAGAGACAGCTCAATTAGCGATTTCAATTTAAAACCTTATAAATGTTCAAACATAAAATGTTTAATTAGCGTTGTATAACTTAGAGCTTGTTTTGACAAGGACCTTCTTCAAGGAGCTTCTTGTTTAAATTCGCGCTCAAGATTAATCAATATAAATAGATGTTTGGGATAACTGTTAAAATGTTAATGAATTAATTCTATGGAAGGTTGGAAATGTATTAGGGAGATGTTGCAGCGGTTGTGAGATGATTTATACTGACGTTCACTAAATATCTAAATTTAAGTTATATTTTTTGTATAGACATAGCTTTAAGATTAATGGTGAATAAATAAGTCATCAAAATTTATTTATTTTATTTCTTTGTTTCCTAAAAATATTTAATCTAAACACCTTCATTATCAGAAGTTTAAATTTAGTTTATTCAAATTTTCCAAGTTTATTAGTGCTTTAATAGCTTTACGATATTGACTATCCCTACAAATTGAAAAGTATTAATTATGCGTAACGTATTTTATTCAAACTGCATGCATTTTGTATGCGTTTGTTTTGTGCCCTGGATGGTTTAAATTCACAAACCAGCCCTGCAGATTGCGCTGCAGTCGGTACTTTTTTACTTTGTTTCATATCCTAATCGCTTTAAATTTCATGCAGGACGTCTGTTGGGTCCACTAGTATTAAATTAGGTAATGTTATATTTTTGCTTGTTGTTGTTTTGTACTTTAATTACATTTAGTATCAATATTAATAATTGCAACTTGTATTTTTTATAATTCAATTGAATATGAGTAACCTTTTTTTTATTGTGTCGATAGTGACGATTATTATGGTTTCTTTAGTACATAATGAGAAAGAATCCGAAGATTTTATCAAAACCACTAACTTTATATGTTTAAACTAACTTTATTATTTTATTTATTTCTTATATCCAGTTGTGCTAATTGCAAGTAATAATAAAAGGCAAAAAATATTGCAAATTACGTATTTATTTAATAACAAAATATAAATGAATACACGTACACATCGTAAGGCACAGCCAAGCAGTTCTGAATGTGAAAAACATTTACAAAAATGAAAAACTTTACACAATTTCGCTTATTTATTAAAGTGAGATGCTTCCATCGATTCGAATGCTTCTAATTTGATGTTTAATCTGGAAAAGGTTTAAAAATTTAAAAACATAATAACTTAAAAATTAATAACAAGAATAATATCTGTATTAAGAAAATATTCATCATGGTTCTCATCTTAAAGCATAGCTTTTATATCTAAGTTAAACACTCTTTCGGGGACTGTTTCCATATGATACGAAAATTTTTATGAAAATACTTAGTTACTATTTTAATAGCTGTTGAAATTATAAAAATCAATATTAAATTTTATCATAGGGCGTTATAGTTATTTTAAATTAAATTATTTTAATATTAAAAAATCTGAATTGACTTATGTCTGATGTAACAAAAAAGAGTCAAGATTTTTTTTGTACGTCATCATTTGGTTTAACGATAACGCTATGTTAATGATACACGAACCGGAATAAAATAGATAATATAAAACTATTGGGTAATAATTACTTCTGGAAGCTGGCCTGCAACTCTTTGGCCTTGTTTGAATGGCACACGATGGCCATCTTGCTCTTGTCCTGCTGGAAGAGCGAAGGCAGCCAACGCGACGCGGCCTTCAACGCTTGATCCTCTGTCACGGCCGCTATGGCGCATATCAACTCCCTGGAATCATATAATATACATTTGGATGACATCATTCACCAGTGTGCTCATCAGTAATCGCGTAGATTTCGGTGTTAAACAAATGAAACAAAGAATAATTAAACGAGATAAATGGTGCAGTGTTGGCTAAGAGACTTGAGCGTGCGACACTCATCATTGAGGTCGTAGGTTCGATCCCCGGCTGGGCACCAATGGACTTTCTTTCTATGTGCGCATGTAACATTCGCTCGAACGGTGAAGGAAAACATCGTCGGGAAACCGGCTTGACTTAGACCTAAAAAGTTGACGGCATGTGTCAGGCACAGAAGGCTGATCACCTTCTTGTCTATTAGATTGACAAATGATAATGGAACAGATACAGAAATCTGAGGCCCAGACCTAAAAAGGTTGTAGCGCCACTAATTTTTTTTAAATGGTGCAGTCAAGGATTTTTGTTAGCTTAAGCGCGACAATAGATACTAAATCAACATATATTTTACTAAAGTGTATTATATATGTATATACATAATAAATAATGTGGTGGTGAAGTCGGGTTAAATAGGCCTTGTCTAAACCAAATCCAGGATACTAGAGAAGGGATAAGTTAAAAGTACCCATAATCGACGAGTATGCATGAAAGTGGTTGAAGCGAGAGAGGTAAGGACCGTTGCAAGTAGAGACCCGTGGCCTCTGCCTACCCCTTTGGGAAAAGAAGATATAAATACACTGTAACCTCTTTATAACGAATTTCAAGGGACCGAGCATTTTGAGTTTTCGTTGTAGGGAGAGAAGAGAAAAAACATCAAATTTAACCAATTACAATAATTTATATGTATATGATAGATAGGTGACAATTATTGTGCGTTTAGTAGCTGAGACCAAAATTTCCTACAGGCAATGTAATCTAAGAATAATGGCACACGTGTTAATGCAATTGATAATAACAAAGGCGAGAAGGCTTCTTAGAAATTTCGGCACCTCAAAAGGTTAGTTTTGTAATCTGATTATAAAAACAATTACACTTAAGAATGTTGTTGTCTAAATATGAAAATATTTCTTCGTTATAGAGAGGTTGTTGCGTTATAAAGAGTGAATTAAATATGGGTTTTATGTTAAACCAAACAAATGTTTTGTCGAGTTTTTCGTTATAACGAATGACTTTGTTACTGAAATTGTTACTCATACGGGATCCTGCTGACGTAGTTCGGGAACGGATTTCAGCCAAATGAAATCCTGGAGCGGGAATGGGTAACTAACCTGTTGTGAGTGGTTCCAACGCGCTTGATGTAGTTGAGGAGCGATTGCTTGACGACGTCTGCAGGACATTTCTCGACTTCCACGACCTCGAACAGAGCCGTGCTTTTGGCCGAAGCGAACAGCTCCGCATCGAACTTGCCAATTGCGAGGAAGTCCTCCTGGAAGATACCAATTTAAATTTAGTAAAATATCTATTATTTTACATATTCATCGCTTAAATTTTTTGATGTGAAAACTTCTTTAGCGGCGTTGTACATTTTTTTGGAATGGATGAAAAATTTTAAACTCGCGTCAGGACAAATTCGTAAGACGGATGTTTTTTTAAAGGATTATGAACCTATATATAGTTACGGTTTTAATTCATTTGTCTCTTTCCTCAGATATATTGATACATTTGGAATTGGACCTTAAGTCAATAAGGTTTATTTTTAAAAATATTGTTTAATCCTTGTCCTAACCTTTAATAACCCTTTGAAGAGGTTCCTTTCCTTTAACATTGGGAGTTGTTTTTAAAGAAAATAATTTTTTTAAGATATTGTCAATATATTATTAATCTATAGGATTGCTAAATAGTAAATACTAACGAAGTGAAAACTAATTTATTTGACGATTACCAGTATAGCCTTGACTTTAGTATAGGCCGCCACCGCATTAGTGGCGCGATACAAGGACAGCACTAGGGCGGCTTCGTGAGGCGAAGGGCGGAGCGCGTATCCGTATGATAGGCCTCCACCACGCACTTCGCGCCACATAGGACCCTGAAAAAAATCATAAAATTTATTTAAACAAAATACTTATTTATTTTTATTTTTTTATATATAAACGATAAGCGATCTAAATCAAATTACATCACACAAAAAAAAAGTAAATATCAGTAAAAATCGTCCCTACTCAGTTTAATTTTAATAAACTTCGAGATTTTCAGCGTACTCAATTACACGTTGAATATGTCCAACTAATGGCCATAGGCCTCCTCTCTTAGGCGAGAGGGAATGGTCTGTAGTCCCCACGCTAGCCATTGGGCATTGGAGCTTGGGCTTAAATTTTGATTGATTGATTTGATTTGCTACCTCGAGCTGCGTAAAGTAGTTGAGTGCCACGGACAAGGGTGCGTCCTTGAGCGAGCTCCCAGATGGGCCTGGACTGAGTTGGGCCAAGAACGAGCTCTCCACGCCCCCCACCCCCACTACGAACCCACCACCCCAACCGGACATCAGCTCCCACTCGTTATACAGCTTCGGCCTGAAGGGAAAGTTAAACTCTTTTAAGTTGTGCACTTGAGACATCAAAACACCATACTATTGAATAGATGAACTGATTTTGGTGAATGTTAGAAAATATTTAGCCAAGTCGATTTTTAAACAAAAAAATGGTTGCCTGTAAAGTCGGTTTACGGACGATATTTTCACGTGACAACGTCATAACGAAACATTGATGTAATGATTTTATGAATATAATTGAATCGTATTTATTGAATTATCACTATTTTGTATGGATACAAAGAAGGAGTGAATCCTCGAACGCATGGGCCAATCGAGTGGAAGAGAGATAGATACAGCGCAAGCGTCCAATGAGCGTAACGGGACAATAAGCGTAACGATACAATGAGTGCTTTTTCGTGCGTCCAGCCGGCGTTCATCGATTTATTAGACGTTGTCACGTCAAAATCTAAATGGCAAATTAACCTATTTAGGTTAAAGAAACACAAATACACACTTCAAACTTCAACATTAGTAGATTTAGAACAAAATACTTTATCTAAAAATCCAGTTTGCCAAAGACTTTAGCTTTTAATGCTATTTTAAAAACCCTTAGCACAAACTTTACAATATTTCTGTAACATTTTAACATAGATTTTCCATATCGTTCGAGTTTTACATACAAGAGGTATTATATTATCATAACTATTTGATTTTAGCCGATGCTAAAAGGTGTAGTGTAGCCATTCATCGGTATCTCGATAAATAAATCCGTTTTCTTTCTATCATCAAAAATTAATCAATTGAACATGAACTTTGCGGTATTGACATTGCAGTAGCTCCAAAGACATATTTAAAAAGTGGTGAAACTATAGAAATCCTGGCCCAAAAAACTAATTGCACTTATATAGTAATATTTTTATGTCTTATTGATTATTAATATATGTATATAGAGGTCAAATTTGCTAACGCAAGGATCGTTTCTTCAATGAATAAATAAAAATAGCGATTTTATCAAGACTTTCAATAAACCTATTGACATTAAAAATTGAGGGAAAATTAATTTATTCATTTACCTATATACACTTACGAAAGTTAATATTAAAAAAATATTATTTTTTAGTATTACTATAGAAAATTTACAAAAATACTTACGCAACTGGGACAATCTCGTTGGGCCTCGCAAACTGTTTCCAAGGCTCCGTGCTCAACTGATATCTTTCCAAATCACTAGCCAGATGCAGCCAGGGCTTCTCCGTGATGTTTTTCAACGTTTTCGTGGCTTCCTCGAGGGCATTTTGGGCAGAATCTCCACCAGCGTTGAGCTGCTCCACCAGATCTTTTAGGAACTGCTGCTGGCGCAGTACCGTCGCCCAATGAGCGTTTGTGTTCTTCTCGTAGAGGGAATCACGTAAAATATCGTACACCATTTTGTGGCCAGCCCGACGAACCTGAAAATCAATTAAATAAATCTCTTACATTGCCTTAACCATATACACTAAAATTATTAAATTTGCAAAACTGTTATTTTAGTTATTAACATGCGCAAAATTACAAATTGTTTTTGCTAATATTCGACAAAACATTAAAAAAAGAAATATGTCAGTACTCCATACAAGTTCTGTACTGCCTAAAAAATACTTTCATTGAATAAAGAAAACTAGAAAAAAATTATGTCCGGTTTAAGAAATATTATTAACCTTAAATTCAAATTTAATTGTTTGTAAAAATATTATATACATTGGTTTATAAAATAGAGATAGATAAACTTTTACATTGTTTAAACATTATTATTATTATATTATACATTACCTGAGAAACATCGTTGATCAATCTTTGCGCGAAGACCAGCAGTCTTTCCTTGGTCAACTCGGCTGCATAAAGCACTTCATAGAGATGGTTCACTACTTCCACATAGTCTGATGGTTCACACTGAAATATATTAATTTGCATTGTTATTAATTGTGTTATATAGAAAAACTATAGAAGCTTAATAGATTAGAGATAGATAGCAAAAGTATAACTGCCCGGTATGAGAAATTTGTTTTATTACTTTAAATTCAATAAAATCTTAAATTTTAAGGTTTAATTGCATAAAACTATGTTTTTCTGCACACAATTCCCTTATTAATTTCTAGCCATTTCTTTAGAATAACTATACTAGAAATACACACATACAACCTATGTCACAAACAATAAACACATAGGTAGCGCTAGGAAAATATCGAAACTATTATATTATGTATAACATAGTTTGAAATTTAAATTAAAGATTTGAATAAGGCTTTTTTCAGATTATACATTTCGATATATTTTTTTCTATTAACTGTTGGCTACCTAAATAAATTAATAGTTCCTAATAATAACAATCCGTTTACTCGGATAAAAATTTATTAAAATTTACACATTAATATGTGTAAATTTAACACTTTTTGGCACCCAGAAATTCTAGACACAGTAACTAAAATTATTTTCGAACTAACGACTAAAGTTTTTTTAGAAAAAGCGTGTATTTCCTAACATTTGAGTATTTTCTTTAAAAAATAAAACATGTACACGCGTTAGAAGTTATACTTCTATGGCGTAACAAGATAAAAACTTTTCAAATTTATTTTGTTTGTAACAATAGTTAGTGTCGTTTAAAAACTAAAATGTTGACTACAGCTAACTTCAGGGTGTCGGTTTTTTGTGAAACTGTGCGCGCGCATTATAAAAATTTGCTCCCATCATTTTCCGATCAAGGTTTTTTCCGAAGGTTGTATAAAAACGCTACTCTACTTACCCTAACTTCAATATGAACAAATTGGCCATACTGTCCCACACTAAAGTTTCCAGATTTGCCAAAACCTATGTCATTGCTGAAGGAGACAGTGAGCTGCTCCGTCGTAGAAATCACTTCTTCGTGAGGAATCAATTTGTCCCCACGTCGAACTGGACACTCCGCCAACGCGTCCAAATGCAGAGGGAGCCACTTGCGGGTGACTTCATCTATTTGGCTCGTGTCTAGGATGAGATTTATCTGCAATGTTTCATTAGGATATATTAAAATAAGAAGAAAGGTGTGTAAAACAATGACGGGCATTTTTCCATGAAAAATGATTTAGTTGGCGAATTTTTAGATTTGATTTGTAAAATCGTCTGTCCCATACCCACTTATGTAAATTTTATATTTTTTTAAGAGAAACTTCTTTAGGTTCATGAGGGTAAAATTTTTACGGATGAAACGCAATAATAATAATATTGACGTTGTTATCGAAGAAAAGAGCGATTGAGAGAGAGTGAGAAGAGCGAAGGTTTATAGAAATAATAAAATCTCAAATGTCGGATTGTAAATTAAAATGTCACGTGTTTTTATTATTGGAGAAATAAATTTAAAAAATTCAATTTATAATTTGTATTAATTATCAACACTTTTAATATTTTAATGACAATTAAATTAATTAAATTCCTAACATATCTTTCTTTTTACCTTCCTCTAAGTCTCGGAAATCTAAAGTTTGAGATTTGTATAAATATGAACAATTTATTTTTGTTTACTGTGCTAAATTTAAAGTTAAATAGAAATTAAATGGCGTTTTTTAAACTAAAAATAGAAAGATATATTTTTAATCGACTACAAGACATAATATAGTAACTTACATAAACAAAGTTGGTCTTTAAGCTATGGACTCTGGTGTACAGGGGGACTTCTTTGAGGTCGAAATGGGGGCACGGGCCAGAATCTGTTGCCCACGTGGATAAATTGTGACACTTCAGGTTTGCACATGATGGCACTGGCACAGATGCCAATGTACCAGCTGGGGGTGGTCGCTGCAAATAAAAAAAAAAATGATATATAAAAATTATAACGCTTTGCGACATAATTTTAAATACTATGTATTAACTTCATAATTGTTTTTACCTACTTAGATTAGACTTATAACAAAAATTAATTATTAAAAAATAATTTCAAGATTTTATAGCATAATTCATGTTACTTTAGATACAAAAAAAAATATTCAAATTTTTGTGATTTTTGCATTAAAACAATGTTTTATGACAAATCGTCACATAAAAACATTGTTTTAATGCGCCCAGAATAGTTTATAGATTGTATTTACAAAAATTTATGACTGAATTGTAAATTTATATTAACTTAGCTTTATTAAATTAATTTGTTTCATTATAAATAAATTATTAAAATTAATTCTCGATATTGCTACACAATACATGGAAGTCAGAGGCGCCTGAAATACAGTTCTTTCTACATCAGCAGCCTGGAATACGTTTGTTATGTAACTGGTTTCGGCAATAAATAAAACGAACTAACTAAAGGTAAAAAAAAAAACAGTGGCGCTACAACCTCTTTAGGTCTTGGCCTCAGATTTCTGAATCTGTTTCATGATCATTTTTAAATCTAATAGGCAAGTAGGTGATCAGCCTCCAGTGCCTGACACACGCCGTCGACTTTTTGGGTCTAAGACATGTCGGTTTCCTCACGATGTTTTCCTTCACCGATCGAGCAAATGTTAAATGCCCACATAGAAGAAAGTCAATTGGTGCACAGCCGGGATCGAACCTACGACTTCAGGTATGAGTTGCACGCTGAAGCCACTAGGCCAACACTGCTCTTCAATATAAAGAGGTAAGCTCTTGTTTTTGACAAAGAATAAAATTCTTTGACATATACCTCATTGAATTCCATGGCCTGCTGGAGGGCTTTTGCTTTTTGTGCGAGCCCACTCTCCCCAAGCGTAGCTCTCTGTTCTTCTAGACGCTTCTTTTCTTCATCAGCCATCCTTTACACACAAATATAATTATTGTAAAACATATACATATACAACTTTATAAATTATCAGTATTAAACAAGACTAGATTGTAATGTTATTGGACATATTTGACAGAGCTCAATACGAAATTGCGTCTTGAGATACGACTGAGAATGTGGACCTAAAAGTAGTAAAATAGCGGTATATAACTGACGCCATTTTTAAGTATTACTTATTCAATGTGTGTGTGTACAGTTGGCCTACTATATACTTATTACTTAGTCTTGATGGATCTCCAAGAGCTCGGTTTCTTTGTACCGGGGATATGTGCAACGGCGAAGGCCAAGGTTGTTTGCGATATTAAGGGCCATAACCAATTTTTAAAAGGCCGGCAACGCACTCGCGAGCCCTCTGGCATTGAGAGTGTCCATGGGCGGCGGTATCACTTAACATCAGGTGAGCCTCCTGCCCGTTTGCCCCCCGTTCTATAAAAAAAAAAAAAAAAAAGTCTATTGCACAGATCCCCGTTAACAAAGACGCAACCTATTGAATGCTGTCTCCGACACTATCGACACCTTTATTTGTTCGCAGGAAGAGTTCTCAGTAGCGATATTGTGTATCTTATGTATTTATTATAACACATTTCATTTTTAATTTCGACATTATCGTAATGGCTTAGTACGTAGCTTGTAAGGCAATAGTAGTGTATGTATTTTTGTGAATAAAATAATTTAAAAAAAATCACTTCTAAAAAATAAAAAAGTGTGTGCGTGTAACCTTTACGCGCGATTGAAGTAAAACTTCTTTGGCGTTGACGGCATATATCACTGAAATGATTAAATATTAACTTAAATAATAAATATCATATTATAGTTTAATTATATTTATTATTCATGTGCTTTACAAAGATTATTCAAAGACGAAGGTTAAATCAGCACATGTCAATACATATAACCTTTTTATTGAATACTAGCCGTTTCGCGCCCGCTTTGCTGGACGAATTAAAATAAATTTTATGTTTCATTATTTTATTTTTTTTCATATTTTTATTATTCTTCTTTTTAACTTCCCGCTAAGAAAATTGAAATATTTCGAAAATCGAGTTTTTAACAATGTTGACGTTTAGAGGTTCTAGGAAGCCTCCCCGAATGTTTCCGCGGTGAAGTCCGTATGGATAAATTTTCATAAAAGTAAAACAACAATAAAAAAATGAAGGAACGTTGGAATTTAATAAATAAATAGCCATAAACCATCTAGGAAAAATTTCGCATCGAATGGTGGTAGTTTCATGTCGATGCGATCAGTGGTTTAGGCGTGAAGGAGCCTCAAACGAAGACCATTTTCCTTTTATATATATAGATTATAGAATGTCGCAATCGTCAGAGAATTTATTATTAATTTACTTATTTTAAAAGTAATAAATCAATAAGTATATTTAGAGATTTTCAAACAACATTGCAATTAAAAAAATTTTTTTTTTAAACTATTGAATTTTTTTATTCACTTTTCTATTCTCTTATACAACTTGGTTATTTTTATTGTAAAATAGACCCGATTTTTAAGATAATAATTTGGTACTAATTTACTTCTTCCAAAATGATAAAATACGAAATTAAGCGAAAAAACTGGCATACTACTATGTATAACAAAAGAAAAGCAAGTTAGGATGGGAACCTTCCCTCTTTAGTGGAATTTTAATTTGGTTACATGTTACTAGTATGGATTTTCATTTTAAATATAAATATACTAATAATAACATAATTACAAAAATCAGTATCAAATAAAACGAATGAATGCTATCCTAAACCAAGAAACTGAATTAAATCAGTTCAAATAATGCACCACTATGCGCTGACGGACTTATAAAAAGCGCTATCGTATTATTTTAAATAGCGGAAACTACGTTAAGCGTTACTTCCGTCCGAAAAAAAATCTGAGTTACTCCCTAGTCGCGCCTAAAAAAGCCTTACTTCAAAAAGTTCTTTGACTATAAGTATAAAAAAGTAATTTTTTTGTTACCTCATCAAAAATTTGGTGCATTAAAATAAATCCTACAGTGTGCCCTAAGTTCTAGTACTAAGACTGGTCCATCAGGTACATCTATAACTAGCCCTTACTTTTCTTGCAGCTCTATACTCGGTGATCCAATGATAGTAATGACGTCATCAGTGAAGAATCGTTTCAGTAATCCCAACCAGAACTCTGAGTTTTCCTCTAGCAATTCGTGCATTGTTACTTGTGGATTCATTCTTAGGCGGAACTGAAACAATTATATATTAACTTTAATTTATTCCCAAAAGGAACAACAATATAATATATATAACAAAAGTTGCATAAATTTTTGTGATAATGTACATATTACGATAAGTTATGATTGACGCAGTTTAGAATGACAAAGTATCTGTTCCATACCCCATTCGGGGGTAACGGGATCTCATGAAAAAACTCTATCGCAACGCAAATGTCATGCCATGTTTAATTTATTCATAAATTATTATCAATAAATAAATGTGTAACTACGGTAACTTCAACTACGAATAAGCAGTGTTGGCCTAGTGGCTTCAGCGTGCGACACTCATACCTGAGGTTGTAGGTTCGATCCCCGGCTGTGCACCAATGGAATTTCTTTCTATGTGCGCATTTAACATTTGCTCGAACGGTGAAGGAAAACATCGTGAGGAAACCGACATGTCTTAGACCCAAAAAGTCGACGGCGTGTGTCAGGCACAGGAGGCTGATCACCTCCTTGCCTATTAGATTTAAAAATGATCATGAAACAGATTCTGATTCAGAAATCTGAGGCCAAGACCAAAATAGGTTGTATCGCCACTGCTTTATTTTTATTTATTTAACTACGGTAACTTAATAGGTGTCAGAAGTTAATACATATTTTATTTGTCATAAATAGTTTTATAGTCTACTAGCTTCCGTCCCCGCTTCGCTCGGATATATTTGATATGTAATAGTTAGACATATGGTTTTTTTTGTAGATATTAGTGTCTTCTATAAAACTGTCGCACAGCACATTGCTCTATTGTTAATAGTTTCCGTACGCCGACTGTACGACATAGTAAGTTTTATTGGTATTTTTGGGGTACATTATCGAAATTTTCATACAGATTTTTATTTTTTTATAATATTCTATAGCCTATAAGGGATAACGTGGCATTCTAATGGTAATAATATTTTTTTATATCCCAGTAGTTTTTGAGCCTATTCAATACAAACGATCAAATCTTTCCTCTCAAAGTGAAGATAATAAAATAAATAATATAGCAATAAAATTGATGATCTCAGATAAGGAAAACAAAACATGTTAAATATTAAGTCTAATAAATAAGATATTGTATTTTTATGTAAAGGCAACAAAGACGGTATTTTTTTTTGTTATCGTCTGGCTGAACGGTTTTGTGATATTTGGAATAAGATAGTATGGCATACAATAAATAAAGTTTGGATCGGTGTATGGGGGAATTTTATACTAGTGTAGTTCAACTACTGTGTAAACTCCATGTAACGTCGTTCGATTTAACGACAAATCCCCCCTAAAGCCGCGAAATCATTCGGCTTGTCTTCCATACAATGATACACTCTACGTAGCATTACAGTCACCCTTAATAACGACAATAAAACAGTAAAAAGTACTTTTTAAGTTGCCGAAATTATTTAAAACTGCGGAGCTGCGTACGTTATTTTGTCGCTTTATTGTCCTAGCCTGTAAGAAACTCGTCTAACGGCATAATTTGTACCGAACTTTCTTAGAAATCCGTTATTATATTTATTTATTATATATCATATTCGGATTACGTGCTTTATCACGAAGATGCCTCAATATTGTTTTTTTATGTAATTACTAAAACTAGTCAAGTTCGATCCTAGTTTGAGGAATGGAAAAATTTAATCACCGACCCACACTGAAATGCTAGTTTGGGAGCGTTCAAGTATTACGTAACGCGTTTTGGGAGGGGGGGTCCTTTTGTAAAACGTTACGATGCGGGGCGGGGATTGAATTACGCGTTATTGTGAATATTATTTTCGACTTTCCAGTACTTTACACCACATAATGGTAACTTTTAGGTATTTAAAGAGTCACTGGGTGGTCACGAAACGTTTTACTATACTTGGGTACAGAAAAACTTTACGGCGCGTTACATGGGGGGGTGGGTCAATAATCTCCAAAAATTGCGTGACGCAATACTTGAACGCTTCCTTAGTCCCACCATCTTGGATGCAATAAAATTAAAAAATCTACTGAAAACAGCAAAAGAGCTTTTTAAATAAAAATATACTCACATCTTCTTCAGTCTGAGAATACAATGCATCTCCAATACATCTGAACGCCATGGCATGATGAGGATCAGACTCCAGGCTGGCCATACTTTCTCGTAACTGCTTCTGCAGGAGCCTCTTCATTCTATCCATATCTATTACTTCTTCCCCTGCCCTTAGGCTTTTGAGGCAGGTTTGGGCCTGAGCACGCGCAGCCTTCAGTTTTTCTATTGGTACATTGTCTAATTGTATTTTGATCATCGATGCTAAGTTCTCCGTTAGGTTGTAAGACACCTGTAATTATTAGTTGTTTTGTTTACGTCTGTCGGTATGTTTGAACGCGACTCTAAAACTACTGCACTGATTTTCACATATTTTCTAAATAGGTTTTGAATAACGAGGACTTTTGTTGCTTAGTAAAAAAATTCTATTCACTAACAGCATAATGGGTTTGCTGCAAATGTAATGTTGCTATTATTATAATACCCCTTAACATTTGTGTATATTCTATGTACTAAGTAGAAGTACAAAGATTTGCTACGAGTCATACATAATTAACAATGTGCTATTCAAGGTCATAATATCTTACATCTCCGGCTAAAGCGTCTTCCCGTTCCACGAGGCATCGTTGCAAGGGCGCTGCTGCAGTGTCACAAAGATATCTCAGAAGTACCGCACAACCAGTCAAGTCTTTGATAGCTGATTTCTCAGTTAGGAGAGGTCCGCGCCAACCGAATATTACCTGCATATTCAATTAATTTATCAAGATTTTTTATGTTTAAGTGTTTAATAGGCTCTACTGGCTGCTTGGCAGAATTTCCAAGCTGTCAGTAGATAAGCTACTCATCTACGAAATGCTCTTGAAACCAATTTGGACATACGGGATTCAACTACGGGGTTCGGCGTGTGACTCTAACATGTAGCATACATAGGGTTCAAAATTACATCTTGAAACAAATATCCAACTGTCCGTAATTTAAAAAAACATCAGGGATTAATGAGCACCTAAAAATCAGGACTGTTAAAGAGAAGATCAAGAACTGGAGTATGAAATACAGAAAAAGGCTAGAAATGCATCCAAATAAGCTTGCTACGCAACTAACCACACAGGACCTAATAAATAGGCTTAAAAGGCGACATGGTTGAAAGAGAGGAGCAGTCTCGATGGAGATTTTCTCTGAACGCCTTACAGCTCTCAACACATCTGCTCATAGTCTAGCTGACTGATAAAGACTTATAAAAAAAAACATTTTTAATAGGCAGCACTGGGGATAAACTTCCTGGTTTATATTTCTTCTAAAAAACAATTGTCTTGAGTGTAACCGCCATGACAATTTTTTTACTATTATGCTTTAATGTAAAATAAAGTAATCTTTTCCAAGTGAAGGTAAAGATTCATATTAACAATATCATGTTACCTGACCACAATCTTCAGTATCAGCAGGCCAGTGTTCTGTGAAATCTCCATAGTTAGGTGAAGGCGGCATGGTCTGCCAGGGCTTCACCCATTCTTCATTTGCCTCTTTTTCCCTCTATTTAATACAAAACTTCTTTAACATTTAAGAAATCAAAGACAACCTTTTTTTTAATATTTGCATAGTGAAAAATTACCTATGTTGAAAATCTACTGATCAAAAATGTCACCAAATCCTACATTAACGCTGAGTAACATAGACTATGTTTATTTAAAAATCATCTAAAAAATAAATTCTTGGTGCAAGCTGGTGACAGGTTGCTAGTTTTAATGATGAAGTAAATTTAAAACCACACAACTACAATTTCTCTAAATCTGATTTTTATTAAAAGTTTAATGTGCTATTTATTCCATATGTATCAAAGGAACATTATTAAATCATACTGGATGTCAGACATCCATTAGGTAATACAAATAAACCATTAATATTTATTGATTCCAGTAAAAATCAATATTATTTGTTCTACAAATACCTTACTTTTGCAATTACCATTACTCACCTGAGCAATGATGTCATCTTCTACAACAGATAATGCTTTAAATACATCATTGGCTTCTATTTGTCCAGTTAAAATAATCGTCAAATTCTCAGGCCTATAGAACTTTTTGTGGAAATCTCTCACCTGGAAATTAATTTTGTTTATATCATAGTTTATATGATATAAGAAAAATATTAAATTTAATTGACCACAATAATAATTATTTTTATTTATTGGTGTTCCCGCAGAATACGTAAAAAATATATGAAAAAGCATTTGCTTAGGAATTTCAAGCATTGTAACTAACAGATAATTTAGTTAACCAGTAGTAACTTACTTTAACATTAGTAGTTGATTCTCTTAAATTTTTCATTATGCCTCCTGTTTCAGATGAATATCCACTGTTTGGGTACATAGCACGCAATAGTTTCAGCTCACATCTATAAAGTACACATTTTGGTTAAGTATAGCTGAAAAAACCATAGCCTGGAATATTTAGAAGTAATGTTGATGTACTCAATATATTTCTGCAGAATAAAGTGAAAATTCTGTCAGGTATACTACCTGCTATCAGCAGAGTTCTCTCTTCCTTGCATTTCACAGTACACTACCCCAGCATTTTCACCATCACCATCTATATGGTGAACCTCTGTTGTAAAACCTTCATCTGTAAGCGTAGGTCTTAAAATATGGTCAAGATATATAGGAAGCAATGTCAGCATTCCTTCATCACCAGCAGTATCAATAGTATAACAAGTATGGTCTGTATCAGTCCAGGCGTTGGTGCCATGAGCCATACACCGGTTCGCCAATAGATCCAGAATTCCTTTGTAAGGATACCGCTCAGAACCCAAGAAAATAAGATGTTCCAATGTGTGTGGCAAACCGTCATCGTCATGTGCCTCGGTTGCTAAAATACAATAAAACATTACATTGTGCAGATATATATTATATAAATAGCATATAATGGAAAAAAATTATACACACCAAGACAGAAGAATCCATTTACGGTTGGACCCTCAACATTAGCTATAATTACAGTTAATCCGGTTTTAGTAGATACATATTTGTTTACCGGCATAACATCGTATGCTTTTGTAGACGATACAAGTTTAAATTGTGACATTGTAATTCTTACAACTTACACTACGTATATGTATATTTATTAACTTATCTACTTATAATTATTACAAACTAATTTAATATTTCACTTAATGTATTATAGTAAACTTCCGATTTGCAATATGAAATAGTTATAAAATGCTATTACGTGACGTTTGAAAACTGAAATTTATGTATGTCAATTGCGAATACTTAAATGACATTTGTCATTTGACGCAATCAACATAAATATTTCCGTATTTTTTGTTTCCTCTTTTAACCCACACTGCTCACTTTATTTTGTATACTGCCTAATTAGACTTTTACTATAGTTTAGTTATAAAATCTTACGAAAACTAATATATTGTAATAACAAAAAAACATAACTGACACAATATCATATAATTTCATTCGAGTTACTTTTTTTACAGGGAAAGCCCTTTTATTATTAGGATTACTAGGTGGCGCTTTATTTAGTTAGATTACATGTTTGCAATATACATACGAAAAAAGAAAAAAGTAGGTTGTCAAAGGAGCAGCCTCTATCCACAAGAGACGAGAGTTTATTTTGAAAAGCTTAATAGATAAAAGCCATTGATTATTTAAAATGTCGGTATTTATTATGGTTAATGGTTTAGTGTTGTATTATTTCATTAATCTGTTCATAAAGATAAATATGTTTTATATATGAAAAACCATTAAAATTTCGTAATTTGCATTTTGCGTATACATTTAAGTAGTTTAGTACTGTGTTAAAGAAAAATATAAAAAAAATGTTAACAAATAATATAATAATCATTAAAATTAATGTTATCGCTAGTTATCAATAATATTATTATCTTATAATTATTTAGGGATTACATACTTAACGAATATTTATAGTGATAGCAAAAATCGAAATGAAATGTGTATTAGGTATCACGTGTACCGTACCCCCCAGGAGGTATGGGTCAGATACATTAATGTCAAATCCCTTCAAGACAAAATAATAGTTCTTTTTCATCAGGAATCGAACTTAACGGGTAATTAATTTATAGTCTCGGAGGCGTTCTTTGGAGTTTTGTTGGAATTCTGAATCGCACATATTTTGTTTTTTGTAGGATGATTTAAGTCGACAATATTCACGTATAAATGAAATTAATTTCTGCTAATGCTAGTCTTGTTATTTTTAGTTTAAACGATATTTTTTTTATAAAATGACAACCTAAAGATATATATGGTAGTTTGTAATACTAATAAAAATTTCCAGGTTGTGTATATAAATTTAAAGAATACCCTCAGATTTCTAATTGCTAAACATTGATTATGGGTTTAGAACGTCCGCGTTATACTGGTTTACTTATGTATTTACGCTGAACATCTACACTAAAATAAAATAGTCAAAAGCTTCCCTGGGCCATTACTCTTCCGATCACAATAATGAAATTTTGTACCGCGCAATCCCAAAGTTACGACATCAGCGCCTACGGATGTTGAGAGAACTACATCGAACTTGCATACGAAAACGTAAGGTATTTCTGTCGCTATTGGAAGTTACAGAGTTAGTACGCAGTTCCTTTCGAAGTCGGATAAATAATCTTCATGCGGTCTCCTTGCAATAAACAATCTTAACTTGTCGATAAATAATGACGCGCGTTTTTATCTAGTAAAGCTTTTGTTTAATGAGATTTTAATGGACATCTGCAAGGCCACGGTTTATTCAAAAGACTTGTAGCACAGAAAACAGTTCTGATAGAATAATATCTTGTTCACACGCTCGTCAAAATTTTATAAAAATCTATGGTCAAAGGAGAAAATCCTGTCACCTTAGCGGTATAGGCAGCGGCACGTAAGTCTAGCGCTGGCCGATACGTGGGGGGGATTGCTGCGCATGTGTACTGTCGCGCGGGGGACGGAATGCGACTGGAGAGCCAATCGACGCTATGCGCGCCCGCTCTTCATTCCGCTAGCCCCCCTCAGGTACCTTATTTTTTACTTCTGCGCAATAACGGTCAGCGCTAGAGTTTCGTGCCGCTACTTGTATATCTGTTGATATTTTATGGTGGATTGCACAGAACATTAAAAACAGAACTTTAATAATTAAATGTAATGTAGGCTTCATTTTTAGCATAAGCATGCACTATAAATTCAGTTAGAATGCATGCAGTTCACATATCGTCATCCCCTTTCAAACAAACCTTATCTAGAATCAAGCGGGAGTTTCACCCCTTCGTTGTTGACATAGTTGAATTACATATTTTGTGTTAAGAACATTTGCGTACTAAAAAAACGTCATGTTACCATATAACAATGGCGCATTTCTTACCATGTAGCGGAATAAAGATATAATAAAGAAAGTTCATCAACCGAGAGATTGTTTCCATTAATATCACCCAACTTTCGCAGTGACTGATTGTGTTTCGTTCACACATGAATGATAACTTAATTTCTATCTCCCACAGAGCAATCTCTGTTTTAATACTGCAATTGAATTTTTACCTGAGTTATACAGAATATTGTAATATTTCAAAACAAAAAACATTTTGTTTAAGAAACTCTTGCACAACCCATATATCTTGGAGATTTGAATTGAAGAATATAAACATTTTTATGCCTCTGAAGTTCTGCCTTTTTGAAGTAAAATGTGACTACGTTCGCAATTAAGTGATTACGTTAGTACACCCCACCTAATTTATACAGAAAATTTTATTATTTTAAGGTTTAAAAACAGTAAGATTTTATTTTAAAAACTCTTGCCAAGCATATTCCTTGGGTTTTTATAAATTTATTTATTAGTAATCTTACAGAGTAACTCATAACCATATTATAAAATAAAACACGTAGACATTCAGAAAGCTATATACACAAAGCAAAAACAGATTACATTGATCTGCTTTGGCTTTTTTTAAAGCGATATTTGTGTTGCATAGGTTTCCTTACTGCTTGCTTTAAGATTTGATTGAAGAATATAAAGATGTTTATGCCTAATTTTTTAAAATTAAAATGTGTTTACTTTCACGATTAAGCGATTACGATAGTACACCCCACCGCTGCAGCTCGCCGATTTCGTTTTTCGACAACCGCCATTCTCGTGGTAGCACGCGTGTTGGGTGAAGTTTTCGAGTTCTATAGTTTACCGTAGAGGATTATACAAATATAGGTAAGTTTTTTTAATAAAAAGTTTATAATAATTTAATAATATAAAAAGTTGACGACCATTTTTTAACATACATCATAGGTTTCTTTAAATTTATGAATTTAATAATGAATCCGACCAAATAATTAATTAATAAATTCCAATAATATTTTAATACAGTTGAATATAATAATTAAATAAATAATTAACTACGTAACATATACTGTATTTAAAATATAGCGAGGCAGATAAATAAATTAATTCATAAAATCATTTTAGTACTATTTCGAAATACGTTTCGATATGTAATTAATATTACACAATGATGGTGATGAAAGCGTGTCATTTGAGACGAAAAGGAGAAGCTCAAGGGCGTACATATAAATTTGTGGTATTTATATGTTATAGGCAAAAAGTTGTATTGTTTTTCTAGTGAAATATGTAAATAGGTAGAATTTATCGGGTTTAAAATTGTTACCGCGATTTCGGCGTAAACTTAGGAGCGTCCGGGTCTATTTATTTCCGTTTATTTTGCTTTAACGAGAAATATATCATAATATTAATTTAACTTAACTTTTCATTCAACACAGGATCATAATTTATTTTTATTATTTATTTAGCATAGATGCCAAATAATAATTATAACAATAATTATTCGATGAACGTAAACTCCGTTCCGAATTTATTTTTCCGGATTAAAAACCTAAGCTACCTTTATCAATAATTTTTAATATTTAAAAAAAAACTTCTTTTCATTAAATTTAAAACCTTGTCTGGTTGAAGCAACATATTTTGCCTTTCATTTTTATTTATATATCTATAGATATACAACTTACACAACTTAAACTACTGAATTTTGTTATTACTAGATACTTAAAAAATAAAAACATTCTGGGGCAGAAATGATATTACGTTAGGACGAACTGATGAAAGAACTCTATCAGATTAATTATTTTTGATTCCATTTTCGCAAAGTTTTAGTATTGATTCTATAAATACGTAGTCATGATTACTTACGTCTTTAGTTCTATAAAATGTTCAAAACCTTATTTAATATGAAATAGAATTTAATTAAAATAGACATTGTATCATTCAAACATTATAGAAAAAAATATTTTCCTCGTAATATTAAATTTTACGACCTCGTCTAACAGCTTTGTCGGCATTTTAACATTCCAACTTGTAAATAATAATTAAATTATTTTCACAACACTGTCATCCATCACTGTGATATTTTATCCGATTACGCATATCGAAAATCGGTAATATCTTAATTTACGTAAGCACTGATATAATATTAGTTCATGATAATAATTAATTATCTATTTATATAGGAAGTAAGGTTAGGTAATCGAAAATATTGTCAACGCAATTAACATTACGTGAAGCTCTGTGTCTGTTTTACCGATTTCTTAAAAACCGTACAATTCTATGACACACTCACTCCTTTGGATCTGCCACCCAAAATATGCCTTGGCCTCCGAAATGGCCTTGGCCGCCAACTGCTGGCTTTCAGCTGCATCAGATACTCCTCCATTCTGCCGAACCAACGGTAACTGGGCCAGTTGGTGCTTCCTTCAGCATCTTGGCCCATGCGGATAAGATACCCCAGCCAACGTAGTTGATGGACCTTGTATTCGACTATAATGTTGTGGCTTACTAAGCCTTCTTTTTTGGCATTCTTACGGCCTCTTCATGACTCGGCGGATACCCAAAAAGTCCAAATATACCCCGTCAGATATATAGTCAGGCACACATACATACATTTCATAATATTTTATTCATTTAGCATTTTATCATAGCATTAACGAATGTTATACGCAAGTTGTAATTAAAGTTATATTCTCTTATTTTTATAACATCCTCCTGGCTCAGGAACCAATGACCATAATTGTTAGCAAGATTTTTTT